AGAGATGGCTAGGTCATTAACAGAGACAAATGTCTATGCTGTGGTACTTCATTAGTTACTTCCAGGGTAGACTGTTATAAAGCAACTCTGTTCCTTGCTTTTTCCTTCTTATGCACACATTTATATGCTCTTTTGCTTTCTTATGAAAGGAGCAGTGTGGCCCCCATCAGAGGCTGAGCAGATATCATAGCCATAATCTTGGCCTCTCCAGCCTCCAGAACCATGAATCAAAATAATACATATTTACAATATAAAAATATTCTTTATAACTCATTCAGTCACATACAGGCTATTACACAACAGAACATGTACTACAATAGCCAGATTTTCTCTCTAGGTTCCACTTCATTTTCTATTCTAAACATACATGCATTTTTTGTTTTGCTGATGATTCTTCTTTCCAAAGCATCTAGATATCTAGAAAGAGTATTCATTATTTTCTGTGTCATTTTTTATTATCTCAATTTTTTCCCTAAACCCATTGCAATCAGGCATCTATCTACTGTTATCAACTAACAGAATTACCTACAACTTACATGTAATTTCTTTCAATAAACATGTTTTGTTTTATTTTGACGATAACCATAAAAGGTATTTATTAATGCCTACTATATTTAAGGAAGTCAAACAACTAGCCCAAGTTCACAGATCAAGAAGTGGCAGATCCAAATAGAATTTATATTCACATTCAACTTCTTGCTGACATGTTATCTGAGGTAAAACTCTTTCCTTCTTGATCTTATATTATTAACATTCTAGTGGGTCTTGAGTTGACAGCAAATGTAATTATGAGAAATGTATTAAAAGACATAGCATGCCTGAGGAAGTAGTGGGTATGTCAGAGCTTCTAACTGACCTTTGTCCTCTAACACATTAGCTGGGGTATCTGATACAATCACATCTACTGTGTCAAAAATCCATGGAATCTGGCTAGTACAGAACAACAGAGAGAAAGAAGTAGGGGAAAACAGAATACAAAAGAATGAGAGAAGAAGGGAAGAAAAATGGAGAAGAGTGACTACCCATAGTAAATACTGCAGCTCTGACAGGAAAGAGCTCCTTGACTAAAAACATGGTCTCATGGTACCCCTGGAAACTAGAAGTATCAGGCACTGATTGCCTTGGGTATCACATAAGAGACCGGTGAAAGAATGGAACAGATTCCTGAAAGCACCCAAAGCTTTCCCAGTCTGACCACAGCACACACGTATAGTTTCCTTTCAGAAAAATAAAAGTTCATAACGTATTTTGTCTCAGATCTTAAATAATTTAACTTGGAGAAAAATCTCATGAAAATAAATATTTTAATAGAAAAACTCATGATATATATAATAATAGTCCATATGGGAAGTCAACATATGGACTCAAGTATTTGTATACAGGAAGTTAACGAGATGTAATAGTGCTAAGTTTTCTATTTCAGGGTGCTTAATTGATAATTGTCACTTCTGGCGCGTAATCACTTTCTGTCTCAGTTTCCTTAATTAATAAATTAGGAACATGATTCTGAATCAAAGGTGGAAAAAGTCACATGAATGGAAATTTATTGACCATTTTAGATTTTATTATTCTGGAAGGAAAGGGTGGGGAATAATATGGTCAGAGCTATTTTGTGTTAAATTCTTGAACACTTTGCAGCAATCATTACAAACTTCCTGACAAAATAAGCACAAACCTTTCCTGAGTGTGACTGTATTTTTCTTCTTCACAGGTTTGACTAATGAAGCTTTTGCAGAGTAGAGTACAATAGCTCCCTGGGGGATCTCTTTCCAATAATCAAGTGATTTCTTTTTCTCTCTCTTAAAAAGAATGACATTGTGCTTTAGAATGTTCTAGGCTCTGAAGGAAAGACAAACCATCTGATTTGAATGGCTAATAAAGACATTAAGCAATACGAAATAAGCAATAGAGTTCAGATCCCAAACATACTTTTAGTTTTAAATTGCAGAACAAAACTGATTTCTTTTTACATTGTTTCTGATGCTCACTGGTGATTTCTCTAAGGCCAACTTTTATTTTCATGGTCACAGCTACTTTAGAAGAGTTGGCTTATCACTTGAATGTTTTCCAAAAGATGCTGTTTCTTTGCACCCAACATTTACTGCATAACAGCATTTTTAAAATATGCTTTTCCACCCCTGAGACAGGGTCTCATTATGTAACCCAGGTTGAACTCTAACTCTCAACCCTTCTACCTCAATTTTACAAGTACTAGGATTATATGGATTATATGTATATACCACCAGAAGGAATAATATTTTAATACTATAAAGACAACGTTTTTGGCTACGCTTGTTGAAATATGCCTTTAATGCAAAGCAAGTGGATCTCTGTGAGTTCAAGGACAGTCATGCAACTTTGCTCAAAGCCCTCCCATTCCCCCATCTTGGTGGGACCACACACCTCATATCTAAATGCTTGCTTTGTGTCTTATGCATTAGCCACACGTTTGCTCACATTACTTCACCTTTCTGTGATGCCTTCATTAATTGCTTTCTAATACTCTACACTGTGATGTTTTCTTCAAGACTCATCCAAGACTCACTTTACTCCCAAGTGTCTGGAGACTGTTTGTCTATAACTAAGTTGTTTTATAGGTTCCATATCCTCAGTGGCATTAACATTTTGCTCAACACACAAAATTCTGTGCAGTGAGTCAAAGCAGGAAATGAATTCACTAGTGTGAGTGTTTCCCAATTAAAGTAAGAGGATGAAGAAGATATAAAACTAAGTTCTATCTTCGAACACCACTTAGCTTAGCAATAGAGGAGAGCCCTTGTTTTCATTCAAACATGTCCAAAAGATGGGAAAAGTCATTTTTCTTTGAGGTTATTCTTTCCATGTGGTTATTCAAGAAATGCAATGTTGAAGGTGATATGTCTTCAAATCACTAATTCAGCAAAGGCTTCAAGATATATAGTCTCTATAAGGACAAGTTTCCTAAAGATAGGATTCCAAAGTACAACTAGACAGCTATACTGCTGGAAGCCAGAGGTTCAAAAATCAGTGTTTTTGTTTATTTTTAGTTTTGATCCTGACAAAAAGCAACTTACGGGAGTATGGGTTTATTTTATCTTACTTCAGGTTGTACTCCAGGATAATACAAAGTCAGTCCAGGTAGAAGGAACTTAAAACACCCAGTTATATCACATTCAAAGTCAAGAGCAGAGAGAAATGGATGCATGTATACTTGCTTGTTTGCTTGCATTCAGCTAAATTTCTTTACTCTTATATACTTCAGAATTCCCTGCCTAAGGAATGCCACCTACAATATGCTGAATATGAATCTTTTCATGACAGCTATCTTAAAACAATTCTCCACAGACACATTTGTGGGCTAACCCAGTGTAGACAACTCCTCATCAACTCTTAATCTTGGATGATTCTAGGTTGTATCAAGTTGACATTTAAAACTAGCTACCACATAAGGTTGTCATGTTGCTTGTAGGAAGGGGTCAGTCATGTCATTTCTTAGCTCTTTGCTGCCTCAGATGCTTCTTCACACCCAACTTCCTTCTTCACAGGCTATCCTCCTTATGTATCTTCATGATATTTTTCCTCTGTGTGGGTCCCAACATCCTCCTTTAGTGAGGACATCAATAACTGGATTAGAGCCAACTCTGCAGACTTCATTTAACTGGTCACATCCTTAAAGCCCAATTTTCCAATTAAAAAGTACCAAATCTGAGGTGCTACAAGTTAGGAATCCCAGCATATCTGCTTGAGGGAAGGGGGAGTGCTATTCTACACATAGCAAAGATGTGTGGATGAGAGACTCTGCCAAGACACTCTCTTACATGGTATGAGACTGGAGAGCTGTACTTGCTGCTACTTTTTCATAAGAACCATACCCTTTCATTATCTTCCATAGGCATATAACCTTCTAGAGTCAAAGGGTAAAAGGCAAATGATGTTGTCATTGGGCAGCAGGACAGAAGGCTTCCTGTTGAACTGTGATGCTGAACAACATTACTCATGATCCTATCATCACTTATACTTTCTTTGATATGGAAAAAGAAAGTCAAATTACAAATGCTGTGCTTTCATAAGATCCATCTTTTTGCAGTGTCACTTTTAGGAGGAAATTGTCACCAACATTTTAAATATCATCAGTCAGTGTAAAGTAAGATTGAAAACACTTTTTTATATTTCCATACCCAATTTGATATATGTATCTTTAAAAAATAAATACATTTACAATATTTACAAATTTAAAAGAATTGAGAATAGAATCAAAGCCAGAATATAACATCACTACTCTGAGGGAATCTAAAGTATTACAGCTGATCATGCTGAGATCTGTAGATTATAGATTATTCAATGCAATGTACTCCATAGTAAAAAAAAAAACCTACATTGTTCTCAAAGTTCAAAGCCCATTTCCTGAACTTGTCAAGCATGAATTGTTCATCAATTAAATTCTAAATTTTCAGTGTCTTTTGGAAGAATGAGATTGAATGAGAAGCAAGAAAAGATGCATTCAATATACTAAAGCAAAGCAACACAGAGGCAATGACTTTGTTAAACAAGAAAAACTAAATTGTAGGTGACTTACATTATTCTTAAACTTACCTATTACTTAAGGGCATAATATCAACAGGATCTTTCAATGTTTTCTTAAAATGAACATCTTAAATTCAGTTGGAAAATATTTTTAAAGAAATCCTTAAGAGTCTGTTTAAGGAGATGTATAATTTGTAATTATCTCTTCTTATTCTGAGAGTTGTCTTGTCACCTGTTTATTTTTGTGCAGAACTCTTTTAGGTTGATACCATCTTGTATGTTTAATTCTGCTTTTGTTGCTTGTACTTTTGAACTCTTATCAAAAAATATTTTCTCAGATTAATATTCTGATTTAGTTAACACATAGTGTATATGTGTGTCAAAACATAACGTTTTCCTCCATGAATATGTACAATGGTTACATGTCAGCTAAAAACACTGTTTGCTAACAGCATGCAGTAACATATAGCAATTATCACTACTATTAACAAACATACCCAGATGCTTTCTTCTTGCTGGTACTGCTTCCAGTTCCTCCCACCATCACTGAACATCAGGAGGTAGCTGGTCACCCAGTCAGAACTCCCGTATCCCCCCTGGGTGGCCACAGCCGTGATCTCCATTCGCTCTCCAAGGTCAATCTGCAGCCACTGGTACGTATTTGATACAAGGGGTGTCCATCCACCAGCTCCTTTTTGGAACAACAAAAAAAGTAGAAAAATAGTATAAAATAAGGAAATTACTGAAGAGGGATTGAAAACTATAAGATGTAAATGTAGTAAATTTAAGATGGTCATAGATTCTCATTAGAAACAAAAGGCAGAAAAGTTATGTGCAAATAAATGAGTTCTGCATTGCTTTCATAATTGGCTAGGTGACCCCTGACACCTTATATTACAGCTTTCCCCTGAGTGCAGAAAGTGTTTGATGTAACATAGGAGACTAATCATTTCTGTCACTTCTGGAAACTGGTGTGTTCAACAGCCTGTGTGCTGGTGCAGGACTTGCCCTTTGCCAAGTATAAGAACAGTGTTGTGCATTATATAAACAAAAGTACTTATACATTAATTAAAACAGACATTTAGAAGAATCATCAAGAATTGAGGGGTGGTTTTCCTTGTGAGAAGCCATAGGTAAGATTCCTAGCATTATGAACAATGACAATCAAAAGCAGAGGAGTGATTTGTAACAAATGTTCTTATACACATGCTTCAGTGCCTGAGTGAAATTATGCTAAGAAGCCATGGATTTCTCTCACATTTTATATTGTTTCATCAACAGCACAGGTTAATTTTTGACGAGCTCTTGCTTTCCTAAAGACTGTTCTGGGGACTGTGGCAGGAATGCCAAGCTGCCACTGTTTTATTCTTACATGATCTCATGCTTTGCCTGCTGCTTTTCCACTTTAAATTTCAGAGCTCTGAGGAAACAATTAAGTTCTGCCATATGTGTCACAATTTAAAACAAGGGAAGGAGGAGAAACGGGAACTACAAAACTTAGATCATTTGCTGAGAATGTTAACAGATGTTTCTATGCAACTTACTTCCCCTCCAAAAGCATCCAATAGTTTGACCTTATACCTATTTTCTTAATGAAAACAATAAAAGTTGATTTACATACGTTTACAAAATATCATTTCAAAATCTGTTCCTCTTTATTACCCCCACACAAGCACAATTCATTCAATTTATTAATCATTTTATGTTTTTTGATAATGCATCACTGATTGAATTAAGTTTCTACTTTATAAGTTTTCTGCCTCCATGTTATTATTCTACATATATATGCTTTAGGCTAGACAGTCTCATGTTGCTACCTAGAAGGTGTCCTAGAGTGTGTGTTGACTTTTTCATGGTGGAACTACATGGGAAGTGTCCTAGTTAGGGTTGCTATTGCTGTGATAAAACACCATGACCATGATGGGGAGGAATGGGTTTATTTGACTTATACTTCTGCATCATACTTCATCACTGAAGAAAGTAAGGACAGGAACTCAAACAGGGCATGAACTTGGAGGAAGGAGCTGATGCCAAAGCCATGGAGAGGTGCTGTTTACTGATTTGCTCTTCATGGCTTTCTCAGTTTGCTTTCTTATAGATCCCAGGACCATCAACTCAGGGATGGTACCACTCAAATAGACTAAGCCTTCCCACATTTATCTCTAATTAAGAAAATGCCATACAGACATGTTTATAGCCCAATCTTATGGAGACATTTTCCCAACTAAGGCTCACTCTTTTCTGATGATTCTAGCTTGTGTCGAATTGACAAAAAAACTAGCCAACACAGGAAGGATTAGGATATGTGGCCTTGTTGGAGGAGGTATTTCACTAGGGGTGGGCTTTGAAGTTTCAAAAGCCCACTTCATTCCCAATTCTCACGTTCTCTCTCTCCCCTTCTTTCTGTCTCTGTCTCTACATAATAATGCCCCATACATTATAGGGAGTTAGTTTCATTGCCACCATCATCCTACACATTATACCACATCTGATGATTAATAGGGTCAAGAGATACCCAAGGCCATTAAATGTAAGCAAGCAAAGTAAATATTAAGACAAACATTATTAAGGGTTCTGTAGGTAAATCAAACAAATAACCAAATCTCTTTATTGGGAAGCATAGCACTTCCCTTTAAGAAATTGTTTCAAATGGAGTTTTTTTCTAAATGTGCACTGTTTCCACATAAAACCTTAAATCATGGAAGAAATACTAATTATTCAGAAACTACCTAAGATAAGAAGGAAGGGAGACAGACAGACATGTGGTAGGGTGCCACAATGCCTGAATTCCACTATGATCATAAGTTTTTCTATGTAAGGAACATGAACTCAACTAGAAATTACCTCCTCTTTTCCCACATTTGAGATTTATAGATTCTTAAACTTCCAATCTTTTTGCCAATAGTCACCCTTTTGAAGGGAATTATAATGTGTCTTTTATATCTGGTTTCAATTAGAAAGAAATCAGTTCTAAGCATACATACTTGTACATAAACACTGATGAGTGCATATACAGATACCTATGTGTGTGTGTGTGTATGTAGAGCAGTTCATATACTTCAATCTTTTGACTATATTTCTTCAAGTTAAAAAAACACTACAGAAGTCTTGCTTTAGAAACTATCTTTTCTCCCATTTGCATTTTCCTTTGTTTCCTCCAACCTTTTCAAGCTGAACAGAGAAGGTTCAACCTCCCAAAACTGTGTTGATTAAGAAGAACTGTACCTGAAACTCAGATCTCAGTGTATATGCATCAATTTATGTAGTTTATTTCCTTACAAAATAGATCTGCATCTTCTAATAGCTTTGAAAATGAACAAAAGTAAATGGGATAAATATAAAAAAAAGAGTTGGCAATAGACTTACCATTAACACATAATTATATTAAATTTAAGTGGTAAAACCATTTAATGAAATGATATCAAATTAGATAGTAAATGAAATTGTAATTGTATGTTGACTATAAGAACCACAGTGTGAATATAACAGCTCAAATAGGCTAATTTTTTATCATTGTAACACTAGCCTAAAGAAGAGTTGCATTGGTTTTATTAGGTAGAGTGTAGCGAGAATTACTGAAGATAATATAAAGTCTTATTCCACAAAGAAAATGATATCTACTTATCAAGAGGGTACAATTATTCTAAACATGTATACTTGTACTAACAACTTCAAATCTAACCTGATAAAATTGAAATAGGCCTATTGTGTTGGTTTGAATAAAATTGGCCCCATAGGCTCATACATTTGTGTTCTTTTTCCCTATATGATAGAACTTGTGGGGAATGATTAGGAGGTGTGGCCTTCTTGGAGAAAGTGTTTCACGGGTGGAGGGGTAGGCTTTGAGGTTTCAAAAATCCATGCTATCCTCATTAATCTCAATCTCTCTTCCCCCTCTCCCTCTCTTCCTCTGTGCTTCCCCCCTGCCCCCGCTCTGCCTCATAATTGTAGGCCAGGTATAAGCTTTGAGCTGCCGCTCCAGTGTAATGCCTATTTGCCTGTTACCATGGTCCCTGCCATCAAACTCATGGACTCTGACCCTCTAGAGCACCCAAATTAAATTATTTCTTCTATGAATTGCCTTGGTCATGGTGTTTTGTCATGGCAATAGAAAAGTAACTAAGAAACCAATCCAGGATTGTAAAGTAAACACTTAGTGTCCACTTCATCCTAGTTTTGTTGCGACAGGCCTGACCATGCTACTCTTTGGAGAAATGTGGGATTTTGGACTGGAAAAGTGGTTAAATGCTGTAAGCAGGGATAAATGTACTACTCTAGTAGGAACTTGGAAGAGAGAGTGCTCAGAGTAACATGGGTAGTCCATTAAGCTCTGTTTACAGCATTCAACCTCTTTTCTAGTCCAAAGTCCCAAAGTCTTCCACATTCTTCCAAAGAATACTGTGGTCCTGGTAATGTATGAATGGTAATGTATATTGTGTGTCATTGTTTGTTCCAAGTATGTAATTTGCTTTTTAATTTTAATTTCTCAAATATTTTCTTGAGTTTCAGAAGAGGCTTTGGATTTTTAAACAGTCGTGAAACTGTGAAATACTATGTGAACTTTGAGGTTGAATTAAATGTATTTTTCATTATAATTACAAGCCCTTGAGGCCAAAGAGTGAAAGGTTTGAACAAGAATGGTCCTCATAGGCTCATATATTTGAATTCTGGTCTCTAATTGGCAGAACTATTCAGGAAGAATTAGAAGGTAAGGACTTGTTGGAAGAGATGTGTCAGTAGGAGAGAGCTTTGAGGTTTCAAAGGCCTCCTTTATTCCCAGTTAGCACCCCAACACACCACAACTCCTGCTTGTGGATTAAATGTAAGCTCTCCGGGAGCCAAGCACCCCAGACTCCGGATCTTCGCTCACACCAACGAGACCAGGAAAGGAGAGGAGGCTGGGAGACCAGTGAAGCGGCGGTTCTTCCAGCAGCATCAGGACCAGCATTCGGACAAGGAATAGAAGAACCACCAGATTATTGGACTTGCTAGCACCCACCAAAAGGGAACGCTGGTCCCCAGACCAGTAAGGGGCTCTTTCTGTACCCACTAGAAGAAGAGATGGGAAAGAGACAATACAAAAACACAGTCAGCAACAGAAAAACAAATATGACACTGCCAGATTCTAGAGACTCCACACCAGCAAGACCCCAACATTCCAATGCGGACGAAGCAGAAGAGAACGACCTTAAAAGCACTTTCATGAAAATGATAGAGGCCCTAAAAGAGGATATTGGAAAAATCCCTCAAAGAAATGGAAGAAAAAACAAACCAAAAAATGCAAGAATTGGAAGAAAAAACAAACGAAAAAAAGGCAGAAAATGGAAGAAGAAATGAAGCAAAAAATGCAAGAAATGGAAGAAAAAACAAAGCAAAAAATGCAAGAATTGGAAGAAGAATCATACCAAAAAAGACAGGAAATGGAAGAAGAAACAAAGCAAAAAATGCAAGAAATGGTAGAAAAAACAAAGCAAAAAATGAAAAAAATGGAAGAAGAAACAAACCAAAAAAGGCAGGAAATGGAAGAAGAAACAAAGCACAAAATGCGAGAAATGGAACAAAAAGCAAACCAAAAAATGCAAGAAATGGAAGAAAGAACAAACCAAAAAATTCATAAAAGGCAACAAACGGACGAACAGATAAACAGAAAATTGCAAGAAGCAATGCAAACACTGCAAGGGTTGAAAACTG